CGGACAAGCCCATGGTAATGATCCATTTAACTAATATAATATAATTGTTAGCTAAACACTGGTTTCGCCTGGGAATATCAGTGAACCGCGCTTGACATAACAGCTCATCTATTTTCCCCAAGACAAAGAATCTGAATAATTCCTACAGAAAGTTTAATGTAATTAACTGCAGGACCGGCGGGGGGGGGGTGGTTGGGGGCTGGCCAACCGGCCCCAGCTCTCAGAGGGCCCAAACTCTCATACCTCTCACATCCACTGGAAGTTAACTGTTTACTGTAACAGTAACAGGCTGTGCCCCCCCACCCCCCACAGCTGCTCAGTGGACACCCCCCAGCCCCCCCCCTGGGGCCACACAAGCGCACAAACCCAGCTCTCAGCTAACAAAAGGGCCCTGCCGGGAGAAATGGGGGGGGGGGGGGGGGGGGGGGGGGGGGGGGCAAGGGGGCGGGCAGGCAGAGGAGGACTGATAATTGTCAGGCAGCTCTCCAAGGAGGCTGCAGGGAACAGCAGCTGAATACGTCTGTATCTGTCTGTGTGTGAGAGTCACCAGAGACCTGATGACACACAGGGGACGTGCATCCAAAAGCAACCAGCACTTTAAGGTTGAAAGGCCAGGCTTCTTCCAATGGGGTCTCAAGCCAGGAGACACCTTTACCGCAATCACAGCCAGTCAGCTGTGGCCGCTTACCCAGAATCCCCTTGGGCCCAGCTGATCACGCTTCGGTGTTTGCTGCGATTCCCGCGATTGAGAGAGCAGAAAGCCCCCCTATGGATGCTGCAGGCAGACTCCGGGACGCTTCTGACGAGCTACAGGCACGCCGTCCTGCCCAGGCAGCCTCACAGCCACGCAGACGCCATCCTGCCCAGGCAGCCTCACGGCCACGCAGACGCCGTCCTGCCCAGGCAGCCTCACGGCCACGCAGACGCCGTCCTGCCCAGGCAGCCTCACGGCNCACCTGCTGGCTAACAACGCACTGGGGAGACAAGTGCGCACATCCCCCCCCCCCAAACACAGACAGCCTGTTTTGACATTAAAATTGTCCGGAAGTTTCTGTGCAAAAACTGAGGAGCATTGGGAGAAGGAAGGATGAGGGAGAGGAGATAAAAGCAGGATGGGGGGAGAGGGAGAGGGGTTCAGAAAAAGGAGTATTAGGAATCTGCTGAAGGTGACAGTGGCCACGGCTCCAGCTTATTACAGCAGTGAGGAAGAGTGAGTTTCTCACAGAAAAAGGGCCTGACAGAACTGTGGCGGGGGGGGGGGGCCGACTGCCAACAGCAGCAGGCGACAACAAGGGCCCCCACCGGACCCCCCATAGGCTGAGCTTTCAACAGGAGCCATGAGAGATGGGTCATCAGCTGAAGGTGAAGCAGTCTGTCACGACGGTCACATGACGGTCACATGATCACACCCCTCAGGAGCGTTAGCGAATCCGGCTGCCAGGGGCGTCTGGGGTCAGCGGGAAAAACTGCACGCTGGGGAGACACCAACCCACGCATCACACGGAATCTGAGAGCAGGCCTCCGCGGTTGGGGGGGGGGGGGGGGGGGACGGACACAGTCTAAGGGGGCTCCTCATTGTTCCCGCACATTGCAATGCAGCCCCAGTCGATACACAGGGTGCAGAAAGGAATGGGGTCGGGGGGGCCGGAGCCGGGGGCTAGCTGTTCATGCACAGAGGCAGAGCAGATCAGGCTCTTCCTACACATGCTGATAAGTCATAAGTCACGAGCCCTACAAGCATGACAGCGATTATACGGACATAAACAGAACCAGGCGGTAAACCCCACCCCCCGTCTGCTGCATGGGCCGGGGGTTGGATCCGAGGCAGACGCTGGGCCCCCCGGACCCCTAAAAGCGGACGGCAGGGGCCACGACCAGCGGCACCATGGGAATAAGCGTCGGACGCTGCAGTCCGAACCGACTGGGCGGCCTCCAAACGCAAAGCTGCTTTGACTGAGTAACGTGACCCGACATCCGGTGCATGGACTGAGCAGCCTTGTGCCCTGGGATAGGTCCTGGGCTCCCGGTGACCCAGCGCTGGGAGGGAGGGATGGATGGATGGATGGATGGATGGATGGAATAGATGTTTAAAGTGGAATGAAGTCAAAACAGACCCTGAGACAGTGGTTCCATTCTGAAGTTACACCAAAAGTTCCGGGAATCCAGCGAGAAGCGCATGAAACAAACAAAATGGGGGAGAGCGAGAGTAAACTGGCAAGCTGGGGGCGGCAGGGCAGAGATGCAGAGGTGCGAGAGCCCAGTAAGAGCAGCCTCACTGTGGAAAAGTACATCTGAAAAATATTTTCTGTTGAACTAGTTTTTGCAGGCCAATCTGGAAACCACCGAAGACAGAGGGTCCCATACAGGCCGGGCACTGGACCCCGGACCACCGGAGAGCAGGCAGAATCAAGGCGGGCGCACCTCATTGGTGGAAAATCCATCACCGCTGTGTGCAGGACACTCACATAATTCTGTTCTTAAGAGCCGGCCGATTTTCCTAACTTAAGTGGAACGGTCACAGCCTGCACTGGGCCCAGACCGTTTACCGCGGCGTGCAGGCACAGAGGAGACGGCTGACACAAAAATCCTGAAGAGAGATGCACACCATGGACCGAAACATCTCCGAAACGGTCGGCGGCCAAACCACTGCCGTCACGGTGATTCACACGGGCCAACACCCTGAAATCGGAGCGGGCTGAGTCACGGACACGACAGCTGGAAAGCATCGCCAGGCCCGGCCTGCCAGATCGCGGCAGATGCCCGGACGATCGCGCGCGGAGGAGCTGCTCCCGCCAAGCAGACTGTGTGAAATCACAGGAGAATCTGCTGACGAGAGAGACGCCGACCTGCTCTGTGTCACAAACCGACTGCCGACCGGGGAGCCGGAAAAGGCCCTCGCTGTTTGGCACCAGGGAATTTCACATACTTGGACAGCAGCAGAGAGGACAGGGAGGAGAACAACACGGCTATAAAATGGGTTCCTTTGGGGCCGTTCTCTCGCTCTCATGAGAGTCCAACAGAATCTCTGTGCCGAAGCCCTGGGTATTTAATAATAAATAGTGTAGCCATTACCAAACCTGTCACGATAAAAGCACCAAAATAACTTGTTACAGGACCTTCTAGAAGCAGTGCCGATGAAACTAAACAATTTTGTTACCGAGGGCCACAGAAGCACAGCGCCTCCTTTCTGGAGGACCCCAGCCACGGGCAACAAGGCATCCGGTTCAAATGCCCGATTGCGAAAGCCGTTAAGCAATCCAGCAGAAAGCCCTGAGCAGAGCCGGGGCACAAAGTCGCACACTCCAAGGGACACCTCATAGAGATTCAGGGTAAAGAGGATCAAAACAGTGCCTGAATATAGCAGAGAACAAGACTGACAGCACGCAGGCTGTATGGGTGTATCACACAAGAACGGAAAGGGGCAAAGACAATCCCAGTACTACTGACAGACACACCTGGTGCTCTCCACAGGTCGCTCAGTACCCAAAGCAAGGCATTGTGGGAAATATCGGGGTCTTAACGTCATCACAATACTGAGTCACGGCCCCCAGCCTGGAGAGCAGGTACAAAGGTGAGAGAGCCTCTAGTTCAAACCAATCTCAAGGCTGTCTGCTTCCCCCCCAGGCAACATGAAATGGTGCCCTTCCTGTATGAGGGTTTGGAGCATTAAGTTCCTCAACTCATCAACCAACAGCCAGTTTAGAGGATAAACTGTGGCCCACATTTGCACGTGAGACCAGAGTCCGGAGATCAGGCTACAGTAATGGTGCCTTTTTACTGGACTCTTAAAACTGTCTACAGACTTTAATTCAATTACACCAGCCATGGCTATGTTGAGCTACAACAGGCTTACTGTTACCTTGGCTGTCTATGCATGTGTTAGAATGTGACGTCTTCACTCTCAGCTGTACCATGGTCTTGGAACGTCTAATGCACAAATACCTGCCCCACACACGTGGTAAAAACTACAGAAATCAAATGTGACTGAACAGCTCCCTCAGTAACCATGTTCATGACAACCGGAGCAAAACAGAGAATCAGGATTTCTCAGCAATCACTCAAACTATGAAATGTAGCCAGTTTTATACACATCTGCATCAGTGTCTTAAGCAGGGTTCCAAAATTTTGGTCCTGGGGGGACAGAATGCAACACACTGTGTAGATGGGGAAACCTGTCCTTACTTACTTTTTACAGCAAGCAGTACATTTGGTAAAAACTGTAAAACTAAGTAAATAAAAAGTACAATATAACAATGACAAAAAAGTATGACAAAAAGATCTAACATCCAGCAAAGACGAGTCTATGTATGATTGCCGTTTAACTTTAAGCGAAAGGCCTGATGGTCAAGTTGGGACAGGCTGGGAGAAGCTGGGAGCAGACCCCCCAAGGATCTCCGGAGAGGGTGAAGTCTGCGCTGACATCCCCGTGTGTCCCTCCGTCTGCTGACAGCTCAGTACAGAGCGGCACCACACACACTAATGACACGATAAGACCGACAATTCACACTCTCTCAAAACACACGATATAATCACAGGTAACTCCAATTATAGGCAATTCCACTAAAACCATAATGAAAAAGCAACGCGAAATACCGCAAAACTAAAGAAGGCTAGTACAGTATCATCATCATTATAGTGACGATGACTATATACATATACACACATACATACATATACACACACATGTTAATAAACATTTTCATGGCGCTTTTTAAAATTGCCGACCCATTGCAAACTGTTGTATTATTCAAAGGGAAGTGAAATTCCATTTTTAACATTTCGATCTCCTTAAAGCCTTTACGCGGCATCTTCGCGATCTCCGGGAGAAAAACAGCGCAAGAAAAGAAAAAAAAAAAGACATTACAAACATACCGGTACGGCTGAAGTCACACGGAGAGTTAAGGACAGAACAAACGGCAGAAGAATCAAATTGGCTAATCTACAGAGGAACACGTGGATCCTGGCTGATGCTGTGGCGCCGCGCCGCTCCCGCCGCTTACCGAGCGCAGCCTGACCTGGGCCGCTGTCGCTGAGGTTGAAGCCCCCGGATCCGATCGCCGCCTCCACCGCGTCGCAGCTCACCGACTCCGGCTCGGCTTGTGCGGAGATGAAAAACACCGCCAGTGTGCAAACTACTAAAAACCCTGTTCTTGCCATGATTACAAAAGTGAAAGATGGAAAAATAATAAAAAATACTAATAAAACTAAAAAGACCGCTGTGTTACTGTCCTGTTTTTAAGGCGTCACGGTGGGGTCCCATATGTACTCAGTGCGCTCCGCTCGCCGACTCCGTCTCCAGTCCGTACAGCTGGTTGGTTTGCTACTTAACTAACCAAACTCTTCGTAAACTTCGTCTTGTCGGCGTCTGAGTGCGCAGGCTGTGCAAAGTCCTTCCCGGAGAATCCTCCTCTGAAGACCCTATGTTAGTCCTGGCATTAAACGCTCCTTCTCCGCGTCCAGCTCCGCGCTCGCCCGGCGATCCGCAGCGAGAGGGCAGGGAGAGAGCAGCGCAGGGCGTACGGGCAGCGCATGTATGTCTGCGGGTCTTCACAGCTCAAATGCATGCCCCCTAATATAAATCAAGGCTCGTAAAATCAATGAAACGCTCCGGGTGGTGCGGCCGGCGTTTCATCCAGGACGAGCGCACTTTTGCCTGCGGGACCTGTTGCGGCTCAGCCTGCGCACCGGGACCGCTGCTTGTATGCCTCCCGTAAGCCCTGCGCCCAGCCACTTCGGCTGACATCCAACACCGCCCGGTGCCTCGCCAGCGATCTGGACAAAAGACTACCCGCCCCGGTCACTTTATGCGTTTAACAACTGTTTTAAGACCTGCTCTCCCTCCCCCAGCCGCCGCATTAGTCATTGTGAGCCGAATGATTAAACTGATCCCGTGTCAGTTACTAATGGGGGGGTTGGGGGTGTGGAGAGCTGGGCTGGCCCCGCACAATACCTGACGTGGACTTTCGCTAGTTGTGGAGCCGGGAGGGGCTCCAGTCTCGAACACCCGGGGCGATTTTAACGTGGATCTCGCAAATATGTCTTTTGCGAGTTATTTGTCTTGTGTCTTTCGAGCAGATTAATTCAAAGCATGTGCAACTGTTTTCTATATTCGAAACCGACGTTCTTGTTTTGGAAAAAAAATGTGTATTGAAACTGTGATGATACGCATCTTCTAAGTTTGAATCATTTCTAAATGAAGCGGTGCGGGCTTGCCTGCTCTCTACTCCGTCCATCCGCAGGCGCTCGGTTTGTAGCGTAAACACCGCCTCGGCGCTTCTATCAAAAGCCATGACACTGCATTCTACAGCAAGAAGAAAAACCGAATCCGCTAACAAAGTCTTACACGCACAATAATAAGGTAACACGATGTACCCGATCGTCAGATAAAAAGAAAAAAGAGAAGAGGGCGGAAGAGAGCCGTGTCTGTGTATATGTGTGTTAATGAAACCCAGAATACAAGGAGCACCCAACACCCCAGCGCGACTACAGGAGAGGGCCCAGGGCAGGCTCCACCCTGTCCGGACACCATAATAAGGCCGGCAAATGTTCCATGAATTCAGAGACGGGATGTAAACAAGGCAGCTGCTTCACTGAGACACGTGTGTAATGAAACACAGCTGAGCACTAGTACCTGCTAAAGCAGAAAACGTTCCCATGGCCTCTTCAATTACTTGGGTCAGCAGTAATTCTGTGGACAGGCCTGTGTGAGGAATGTACCATGTTGAACAAAAAGGGGGGCGGAGGTCTCACTCAGATGTGGGGGAATCTTTGGTGATACAGGTGCCTGTCTCGGCATCGGATGTCTGTTGATGTCGTCTGGCACAAGGCAGACAGCGTGCAGGCCCTGACGCAGCCGAGCGCTGGGCTCCGTTTGACCTGGTCAGCGGGGTAGTTGGAGCCTGATAGCGACGGCCTCGAGGTTCAAGCATGCGTGGGAAGTTATGCAGGGAATCAAAGGCAAGCTCCCAGGATGTACATATTTCCATCAGCTCTGTATAATACATTTGAGATGTTTATCAGATATATAGTCTGTGTATCAGTGGTGATGAAGATGTTTGGCTGAGAGTTAAAGATGCTGTCAAGGAAGACAAATAGTTTTAATCAGCATCCATGAAGCTTTTGTTTAGTTATTGCTCAAGCACTGTTTGCTTGTTTTGGGCACCGACTCAAATCCCATGTTGGAAAATTCTGAAGGGAGGGATCACTCAGAAAGAGAGGAGAGTGATTATTTTTTTTCCTTATGCATTTCAAGAAACTCCTTCATTCCCTCCATCGAAGTAGCATCTCTGTCAGCTTGAAGGACAATTATAGAAAATAAAATCGAGCTGATTTAGATCGTCATGTTGGAAGGTGGTTCCTCTCAGCTAAGGGTCACGTTAACCTCTTATCATACAGCTCTGCCTTGAGAAAGATCCGGCAACATTTGAGACGTGACATTGTGAGGGACTCTGGTACACAGGAGTATGGAGGATAGGCCGTGTAAGAGAACCCCTCAGAAATGGACACGAGAGCTCTGTCTAGAAACGTAGGATTCTTTTCCATACATCCAGGGTGTTCCCATTTTAATGCCTTATGTTTCATGGGGTGGGCTTTGCATTCCCGGTAAGCTTCTACTGAATATGGATGTGTGGATGGATGGATAGATGTGTGGGTGGATGGATAGATGTGTGGGTGGATGGATAGATGTGTGGATGGATGGATAGATGTGTGGGTGGATGGATGGATAGATGTGTGGGTGGATGGATGGATAGATGTGTGGGTGGAAGGATGGATAGATGTGTGGGTGGATGGATAGATGTGTGGATGAATGGATAGATGTGTGGATGAATGGATAGATGTGTGGGTGGATGGATAGATGTGTGGATGGATGGATAGATGTGTGGATGGATGGATAGATGTGTGGGTGGATGGATAGATGTGTGGATGGATGGATAGATGTGTGGGTGGATGGATGGATAGATGTGTGGGTGGATGGATGGATAGATGTGTGGGTGGAAGGATGGATAGATGTGTGGGTGGAAGGATGGATAGATGTGTGGGTGGATGGATAGATGAGTGGGTGGATGGATGGATAGATGTGTGGGTGGATGGATGGATAGATGTGTGGGTGGATGGATAGATGTGTGGGTGGATGGATGGATAGATGTGTGGGTGGATGGATAGATGTGTGGGTGGGTGGATGGATAGATGTGTGGATGGATGATGAAGGTGTCCTGTTGAAGTTAACTGTAATGTCCAGCTCCCAGGTCCAGTCACAGAAGGACTGAGACTAAGAAAAGCCCTCATTTGAGCTCTGTGAACCTGATGATCTGGGCAGTGATCACCAAGTGATGGATTCCTCATCCTCACTGAAGATGTAGCAAGTGTGAGCCAGGAAGATACAGGTTAGACAAGATTCAGCCAACAACAGGGAGAAACTAAAGTGCCTCAAGAAAACCGAGCTTAAACTGTGATCTTCTCCCACTGGATTGTCTGAAGTGTCCACAGCGCTCAGTAACTGCCCCTGGCTGTCAATCTAAAGAGCTCCCCCCTGTGGTGAGGGTGGGGTTTGTGGGGGCAGGTGAATCTTCTCGGAGAGATGACCTCATGTGTGTGAAAAGCACACAAACATGGACAGAAACCGTTCACATGCCTCTCCAATGAGAACATCAACACAACTCATATTGGTTTATTTTTATTTTCCGTATTTGAAAATAGGCGTGTTTAATGAAATAATATTTACCAAAGGATTTCCTTATCATGTCTCGCGGCGAGGAAGCAGAAGAAGCTCTCCAATAGAGCTACAGAGCGACGGACGACCAGGGAAAAGAGGAAAGAGGCAGAGGTGAAGTTCTGAGATTTTAAAGCGAAAATAGCTAAATACATTAAATAGCCAGAGGCCTATATAATGAAGGAATACGATTTAATCAAATGATGTCGGATCAGTGGGAGGCTGGCGGTCAGGTTTGTGAGGTCTGTGATCGTTTTCACAAAATGGCTTAAACTTAATTAAACACCCAGCATAGGTCACTCTGAATAAAGTTCAGTGAGGCTAATCCAACACAGACCCGGGATCTCGACTGTGTTCACATTAGAGCCGGGCCAGTTCGCCTGTCACACGCGGGCGGACCATGCCTGGAGACTCTGGTATTATGGGCTGGCGCTGTCGAAGATGACCTCACCCTCTTGCTAAGGAGGATAAAAATGAAAGCAGACATTTCAAACAAGTTGAAGGGAAACAATAAAAGCACTTAAATCTGTAAAAATGCAACATTGACATATTCTGCAGTCTGATATGGGTAAGAGTTATCCAGGTGTTGTAAAAAATAAATAAATAATCTATTTAGTGGACCAGGAAACCACACAGGACGAGGTGCCATTTGATTGGCAAAGGAAAGTCACCTGACTGCTGGCCAGGCCTAATCTGGTGTAAAACTTCATCTGTCAATCTGCCTCTGCGAGTCCCAAATCCCCCAATTAACCATTCTTCATCACTGCAGTACTGGCCTCTCGCTGGGCAGAAAACCACAGCTAAAAGACATTTTGCCCAATTACTTGTGTGTTACATGGTCTTGATTCTCTATTGACTGTTTACAGAGAATCTGTCTCTATATTGAACGGCGTCTCTCTGTTAATTATATCCCCACTGAAGGATGAATATATGCAGCAATATAACATACGAGTTAGAATTTTCTCTAAGGAATTTTTTTTTAATCTCCATGGTTGTGGGTAAAGGGTACAAAGAGACACAACTATAGCACAGGGGTATACAGAAAAACCTCGGTGAGCATGCCCAATAGACAGCCACATGCACATGCTTCCTATTGGCCCTTCCGGCTGTCAATCAAAACACCGCCGGGCAGTTTATGTACAAATCCCACTATATGCACTTGCCCCCAATAATGTCCCATACTAGTTAAGAAGACTATGTTGTTTACAGTGTAAAATTACTCACCCACTTACAATCACAGACAGCTAACCACTAACAATACCATTAAAATCATCTTTATCCAGGAATGATTCTTAACAAAAAAAACATTCACATCAAAATATCCATAGTCGTGGGCCATTCGCATGGTATGGCGAGAATCCAGGCTGGACACAAACCAGATAAGGAAACGATCTAGAAGAATTTATTTCATGACTGTTCCTTAGTTGGCCACTAAGTAGTAAAAAGACCTAGGAGCGAGTCATTCCGATGAGTCAGTGTGCCGAGGCTGTCCCACGATTGGGGTGGGACGAGGCTGGGAAATGCAGTGGTTCCGGTCCAATATGAGCACTTTACGACAGCGACCAAGACCACCATCAGAACCACGCGTGGCGAGACAGCACTGAAACTTCAGCACATCTGTCATGGATTAAAGACAACATATAAAAAAGACAAGGTTTACAAACAGTCCTCAGACTTTATAGTCTCAGAAGTTTCACAAGACTGTAGTTTGTGGGATTCTTGGATTTCCTCGAGGAACTCGGAGCAGAACGGAGACGGTAAACATCCAGTGGAAATGGTCAGTGAGCCCGGAGCAGGGTCAGGATGGACAGGGTGAGGACGGGGGACCTGAGGAGCCCAGGGGCGGCGCCAGCCAGCGCCTCCCCCCCATCTGCGTCCAAGGGAGGCAGAAACTGCCCGGTGAAGGCCAGGTCATCCAGGTCCAGGTTGTCTGCGAGGTCTGAAACACAGAATGGGGAGACGGTGGTTGGGTGTGAGCGTGAACGATATATCAGAGAGGAAGCGGGAAGAGGAGGGAGCCGTCGCAGTTCCATTTCAATTCAGAAGCTGGAATTTCCCGGAAATTTCAACTGGAACACCTCCTGAAATCAGAATTCCGACTCAGAAAGTCGGCGGCACCTCTGCAACTCCGACCTCAGAAGGCAAGATGGCTGCGCCCTTTATCAATGGAACTTAAAGACATAGTTATATATTGTTTATTAGCACTTATGTCTTATTAATGCCTCATTACATCAGTCGTACGCACAGTACTGTCCAACCGCTATCTGTGGACATGTTGCTACGGTGTTTCTATGCACAAAATTCCACATAATGTGTGGTTATCAACTGACATTGCTAACAATGGCAGACAATTAACCAGACTAGAACTCAGGCCTGTTTCAGAAAATAGGATTTCTTGTTTAGCTGGATAACTTGTCGGATTTATGGTAGTCTGGGTTAAATGTAAGTGAACAAAGATTAAGGGCCATTTAAACTGGGGTACCTTAAATTTGACAAGTTATCCGGCTAAGCAAGAAATCCTGCTTTTTGAAACAGGGACTTGGCATTGCTAAATGCCTTTCCGACTTGCATCACTGCAACACGGTTTACTCGTATGTGATGTCATTCCCAGCTCCAACTTCCAACCTCTGAGCTAAATGAAACGCAGCATCAGGCAGGAGCGAGACAAGGCTGTAGTGCCAACCATCAGAGATCAATCAGATGACAGAGGAATGTCCTGAAATACGTCCAAGTGCCAATCGCAGCTCGCTAAACAAACCCTGAAACAGGAGGAACGTCGTACAGGAGAAAGGGGGGCAGCTCCTCTGCAGAGAAACGGCAGGTTTCGCACCGTCCGTGGGAAGGCTCCCACACCCGGTCACTCAGGGAGGGGACACAGTCCGGGAAGAAGCATACAAGACGCACGAGAGCTCAGAGCCTTGGCTCGGTTTGGCAGGGGCCAGGCAGAGCACATGTTCTAAGCACATGTGCTGTCTGGCGGTACTGTGTCAGCTGGGGGGGGGGGGGGGGCGTGGGGGCTATTGGCCATGTGCTGCTCCATGTTCCAGGCGACTGTGGGCAGAAGGAACTTAGGCTGTAGCTGAAGCTGAACCCCACAGCAGGCTGGACCGAGCTGGGGGGGATACTGCCCCCCCGTAGGACACTGACACTAATACTGAGCTAATACTGAGACATGATTTCTTCGCTGTTACGGCACTGGTTCAATGTTGGTCAAAGTACAATTAGCTTTCTGTTTGACACCCCCTGCTGCACCCCCCCCCCCTAGTGTAATTTGCCACCATGACAGCAGAGCACAGCACTGCCACACCAATTAAAACAGGGATCTGACATGATAGCTGCTTAACACGGGCTGCGGGTTGCGGGGGGAATGGTGTTGTATGAGGGTGTGTGTGACGTGTAATCAGTTAATCACAATTGGTGACTTACAGCACTGCAGGATCCTGCTAACACACACACACATACTAGGTATCTAGATCTTTGTGGGGACCATCCATTTATTCCTATGGAAAGTACCCTAATTCCAGCAATGATGACCCTAACCCTACCCAGCCCCAACCTTAACTAGAAGTAACCAAACAAAATATAAGACTTTTTGGTGTTTAGTGTTTTGATTCCAGTCACAGATTTTTTTATAAATTTTAAAAATAACAAGTTTTTATCACATTTGGTCCCCACAATGTACTATATGCATGACCACACACACACACACACTCTGCATGAAGGTATTTGGCACAGATGCCCCTCACACATAACTCACATAAAAGCATCTTTGTGGGGGAGGCCAACGGCTCGCCCAGGTGCTGCTTATGAAAGCAGGGAGGCCATGTCAAACTG